CATGGCTTTACTTCCTATATTTCGTCTTCATACTTTTCTACTGGATGGTTAAGACCAAGGTAAAGCAGGACCTGTGCAACGAGTTGTAGCTTTTTGGTCTGAGAAGGTCAGTGAAATCCCCTCAGGATTTATTCTGAGATCCTGTACCTCAGATTGTAGAACCTTTGTCAGTGCAGCCATGTGGATGAGTCACGGCCATTGCAGTTATTATTATTATTATTTTTTTAATTTTATTTTTTTATTTGTGTGTGCGCGCGCATGTGTGGCCAGCTCAGCCCACCAGGGGGCGGGGCTGGCTGGCATGTGGTGCTGGGGGATTGAACCGCAGTCCCTGCTTAGCTTTGCTTGTTCTAAGTAGGTGCTTTAGACCACTGAGCCATCTCACCAGCCCCTACAGTTATTATTTTTAACTGGTGAAAACATTGAAGCACAGAGAGACCGAGCAACTTCCCAGACTCCACACAGTTAATCAGCGATGGAGGCAAAAATCGAGGCAGCCGCTTAGATGCTTGGCTTCTACAGCGCAGTAGACAAAGCCGAGCCTGGGAGTGGGAGTGTCACTCTGCTAGGAGGAGAAATGGCGCTGGGACCGAGCGATGGAGACGACCCAGCGGGCAGGTTTGGAGGCGGCGGCCGGGAGCACTGCAGGAGCAGCAAGTGCTAAGGCCCTGGGGTGGGAAGTGAGCTCAGGTACAGATCAGCCAGCATCCAGCATGGCCGGGGCAGTGACTGATTGGGGCAGTAACGTGAGAGAAGCCAGCTGTCTCTGCTCAGCAGCCTACTGTGGCACATACACCGCAGGCCGAGAGGCTGGTGTTCAGAGGGTCTCATGAGTGATGAACTGTGTCGCTGCGATACAGGATCAGAGATGGGCACAGGCTGGGGACAAGGCTCCATAGTGAGGAGAAGAGACCAAGGGCCGTGCTGCAGGCAGCTGTCTGTGCGAGGTGTCACCCCAGGGGGAGGGCAGGGTGCTGGGGTGTCTGGGCCATTTTGGTTAGGGGTCTGGAAAGTATAATGAATTTCCTATTAGATTTCTTGGTGCACTCTTCTCTCTACAGTTTAATAGTGGAAAATGTTTCTCTTCCCCTTCTGATTTATTGTCTTGCAAAATCTGGATTTTTGTGCCCTAGTCTATTCAGGAGGGGATGTAGAGGAGGGAAAGGGACAGTTCCTCTAAGCACCACTAGGTGTCAGAATTGTCAAGGCAGTCCTAGTAGGCTGGAGCTTGCTGAGTCAAGATTTGAATCGGAAACCCAGTCCTTTCCTATTGCTAGGGGCCGAATCCCGGTCCTCAGGGGCTGGGCTTTGCAGATGCTCTTAAAACGGGGCCCCTGAGGAACGTGTAGGAGCCTGGGGTCTCCAAGGCCTGAGTCCTACAGGTTCAGGAAGGGTTGGTGGTCATTAGGGGTGTCGACTCTCCTCTATGTCCCATCCCTGGGGCTGCCAAGTCCCCCCACCCTGCAGTGAATACAGAACACCCAGGCAGATCCACGACTGATCTCGGGGTGAGTAATGA